GCGACGCCGGAGTTCTTGAGCACATCGGCCAGCGTGTGATTATTTGAAAGTGCGGTGGGAGTGCGCGTCTCGGCGTGTGCGTGCATACGTGCGGACCCAACGATCCTCTCCTCGCGGTATTTCGCGGTTATCATCGCAATGCCGCATTCCTTGTCGTTCTTCTTCCTCCCTCTCTTTCTTTTTTTTTTGCTTCTTCAAATCCACCACATTTCGTATAAATTAAATCGCGCTGTAATTAGCCGCGTCGCGAATTACACGGGGCGCGGGATGAATTATGTAGCGATTCATGGAACTTGCGTTGGCAACCGGGACGAAAGAGAGAGAGAGAGAGAGAGAGGAATCGATTAATAATCAGCGACATCCGGCCGACTCGTCTAGGTATCTGTTTTCGTTCGTTTTTTCCCTGCTCTTTTTTTCTTACCTCGACGTATATGGACGTTACAGTGAAATTTTTTGCCAACTTATTTTTCTCGACGACCAATCCTCCGGCGAGGAAGGTGAGGGGGCGAAAAAGAAGACCGTGAAATCGCTCGGAGTCACCGTTGGAATCGCTAATACCGCGCTGCTACCGGCCGGTTCCTCTACGACCGATTCACTCGCGAGATATTTCGTAGAGCGGAGCTGGTTTCTGCGGAAGATTTTCACTCCAGATGCGGAGTGGGGGCGGCGACGACTTGTCCGAAAAGGATTTACGATCGACAAAAACGCGCTCTCACAGAATTTCGCCATCGCGCTCGGCCGTTCGAAGCGACGTGAGAGTCGGCGCTTCGGTCCTTTCGATTTCGTTCCCGTTGCTGGGATTGCAACTCCGATGCCTCTCTCGACGCTCGTGGAAAGCACCGCGGATAAAAATAACAATTTTCGATGACCTCCTTCGCGCTCGGAGGTGGAAGAAAGTCGGACCGGTGTTTATATAAAGAACCGAGTCTCTCGGCAGATGCAACGGGCGCCGTGTTACGCTACGTTGAAATATGCAGACTAGCGGATAATTATCGCGATTATTGCGGAGACCTCGCGGAAAAATTCATTCGACGAAATCCGTTCGGATTTAATCGGTAGTCGTCGAGAAATTCGTCCCCGGAATACCGAAGGCCCGCAGGCGTGGCGATAAACGTATAATTTGTCGGCTTTTAATTTAATTGAAGGGTGCGCGGAAAAAAAATTAGCGTCATTTCGAGACTCGTATTCTTAAGTATAAAAAAGGGATATACAGGGTCACGTTCTCAAGTGTTCTCTCATTCTCGTCCTTTGATGTTGTAGTGAACGTGACACTGATCTTCGCTCGATCAGCGTTAGTTTAACCAGGTGTGCATGCACTCTCGGGAGGGCCGCGAACTTCATCCCAATTTTCACGGGAGGTGCGTGCGCCAGTGAATGGCGCGAACGTTTACGGGGTCAATGGCGCGTAGAAACGGCATAGCACCGTAAACAGATTCGTATTCTTAGACGGTGATTTTAGGGGTCAGCCACCATACGCCGTTAAACCATTAACGATGATATAAAATTCTCTCGCCAACACTTGCGACGATGTTCCGCAATCTCCGCGCTGTTTATTCAGCGTTGCCGATCGCCGAGCTGGCGAATGCCCGCTCTAGTGGATCTCCGCGGCTGAAAATAGCGGCTAGTTCCGATCGGTTCCGTCGGAATTTTGTCTTCGACGTGGCTCGCATTACCGAACGAAACGACGATGCCCGTCCTCCGCGTGATAGACCGGCAGGCATTTTACCGTCTGACGTAGCACGGCCTTTTTCCACTTGCGTCGCGCTCATGAACCACTCCAGAGCGGTTATACATCGCACAAATGGTGAGAGTACACGCGAGTTAATATAATTGAATGTAAGGAGTATTATATAAAGGAAAAAAAAAAAAGCACGTGAAAATAATCAATTAGTTTCAAATTTCACCGCAAGCACAGAAAAAGGTGTTAGAATAAAATAATTACTTCAGTGCTCCTTAGCAAATTTTTACTTGGTATTAAGTAATTATTTACTTTGTCCAAATGAAGTATTTTCCAAGTAAATTATTGAAGTAAACAGATTATTTAATCCAAGTGAAAATTCGCTGAGGATTATCGAAGTAAATTATTGATTTGAATCTAGTACTTTTTCTTCTGTGTGATGTTATCTTCTCGAGGGAATTTTGAACATTTTTTTCAGGCATATTTTTCTGATATTCAAGAGCACATTCTTTCGTTTATATAATATTTCTTATTATTAAGGAGAAAGAGAGAGAAAGAGAGAGGGGGGGGGNGAGAGAAAGAGATGTAGGTGGTTGAATTTCGTACATAATTTCGCGAGATCGCTAATTAACCGCACTTGCTTTGATTTGCGAGTGAATATGCGTCGCGCGGGCACAACACACATATACAAATACATATATTCGTATAACACGACGTGTAACCGCGAAGAAATCCCGAAGCGAAAGTGAGAACGGCGTCTTCACCGTCCGTCACACGCGTCCAGCTTGTAGCGGCGTTCTAGTGCACGAACTCCTCGCGCAACGCTGTCAGTGAAAACCGCAGTGGTGCGATAGCCTGTGGAATGGAACGCGAGGGAAATGAGGAAAGTCGGGCACCGATGAAAGTGAGAGGATGCCGGCTACAGGGTGTCTCAGGCCAGCTTATTCCGCAGTCGACCGCGAGAGAAAGGGGTTCGCCTCTAATGGAGCCAAGGCGGTCGGTCCGGTCGCGATCGATGGAAAACGAAAACGCAACACGAAGGCGGCTGACGGATCGGCGGATCGGACTTTCGGAGCTCTTTCGCGTCGTCCGAGTTGCGAAACGCGCGAAACGGGCGAGAGTCACAGTAAAAAAAAAAAACAAAAAAGGGAGAAAAGAAAAAAATGTTAATTCGAGAAACGCGAAGGAGCGTGTCGAGTTTCGCATTCGCGAATTTTCGCGTTCAACTGAGAAGAAGGTAAAAGAAAAAATTTGTGTTAAAAACGCAACTTTTTTTACCGTGTATCTTTTGAATTACAGTGGACCGTTTTCAAAGCAAAATTCTTACCGTGTAAAACGCGATCCGTCTTGGCATCGTTTAACCTTCTAAGCATTCGAGGGTCTTCGACCTCGGCGTCCTGAAAAAATTCCGAACATGCTCGGCGCCATTTTTCTCGTAGCACTCACATACATTCTTGCATACTGTAATAGATACATTATTCATGAAAATGTGTTAAAGTGTTAAAGATTGAAAGTAACCAGATCATATCTTTGTGTTGACGATGCACTTTAACACTGTGAGAATTTTTCAATGACGCTCGGGTCGAAAAATAACCGAACGAAATTAGAAAGTCAATTTGATAACGCGAGTAAAAATGCAAATTCTCGTCGTACGTTTATCTATTCTGAGCTGTGCTGTGAAAAATCGAAGTTTCTTCATTCATTGGCATAATGTCTCGGCTATTCCTGTGGGTAGCGACTATGTAACATTTTTTTAGGAGCGGAAACATGAAAAGTGGTAAGCTCCACATCTTCATAGTTCGAAAATTTTTGCATGATCGCGAAAATCAAATCAAATTCACATGAAAATTTGCACTTTTTTTCACGTTTCTTCTCCTAAGGAGAACTTAGAAATCGACGAAAGAAGTTAAAAATAAGACATTAACCTCAAGGAATACATATAAAAAGTATCATATTCCCGAATATCTCAGCTTTCGAACGGTCAGTGTTTTCTAATTGCGCCAATAATTAGGTCATATTTAAATCTATATATAGTACAAGTTTCAAATGAATTCTTAAGAAATTCATTTTATGCTACAACTATTTTAAAAGCACTTGAATATGTTCCTCTTTTCACGTTTCCGCCTTAGAGAGAAATTACATGATCGCAGTTTTATTCAGGAAGATGTTCCAAGGTGGATCGCGAATCGATTGGCTGTGCGATGACGAACGGATCGATCGGGAGTGTAGCTTTCACGTTTGCCCTCGCACACGCTTTTTTTTTCCTTCTCTCGCTCTTTTTTCCATTTTTCAAGACGTACCGCGTTTTATCCGTGGAACACCGAGCGCCGAGAGCCGCAGTCCGAAGATTTCGTAACACGATTGTTCCTAATACGTTACGTTATAAGGCGCGAACTAATTCCATATAATAGAATCTAGCCGGCGCGCACGGCTGTGTGTCGTAAAGCGTTACATTTTATACGCCGCAAGCTCGCACCGACCTGACGTTGCGAGCCACCGCGCTTCTTGTCTATCGCCGTTGCTGTTTATTCGGTATTTTACAAATAAATAATACGAAACAGATGGAAAGAGGAGGGGGAGGAGGAGGAGCGGTAAAGGGGAGAAGAAGCGGGCGACCGGTTCTCGTAAACATTCTCTTTCGCAGCAGGCTAGAGATGATGAAGCAATCGCGCGTGTGCGCGCCACTGCCGGATGCGAGCCTCGGAATTCCCGTCGCCCGTGAAACAAAGCGAGATTTTAGGGAAGCCTGGGTGTGCGCGGATGCGATCCGCGCGACTGCAGTTATAAATAATGCGGAGAGAGACGCATAAGCTGGGAATTCGCGCGTCGCCGCGCTTTTTCACGATTCTGTCGCGCGACTCGCTCGGTGATCTTCGCCGCGATCGAGTGGAGTTTTCTCGGAGGTCGCGACAACAGAGATGAATTTAGAAAGAGAGAAATACTTAAAAAAGGAACCAAAATAAGAATTAAGATTATTTTAGATTTTTTTGTTTTTAAAAATTATAATTAAGAAGTAGAATCTAAAAAAAATGTTTAACTTTTAAGGGAAGTTTAATTTATTAGAATTCTTAAAAATTATTTTACAAATTATTTTAATTTTGATAAGAGAATCTTTCTAATAAGAAAATTGAGAAGCAAAAGTATTTTTAAGAACAGAGGAATATTTGGAAATTTCTGCTTCACATCTCCGGTAGAATTTCGACGCTTTTTGTCCGTCGAGATTCGAGGAGGATTCTGAAATTCACGTCGTAATGATTTATTTAGCACGCACACTCGTTGTCGGCTCAATCACCTGAGGATTTCCCTTCTGTTCTGCTTGCAGATTGGCCGTTCGAATGTAAACCTCGCGGGCGGCCAGCGAGTTCCTCCGACGAGGGCTAGGAATCCGGGTTAGAATTCCGGGAGGATTCGCCGGACGGACAGGGGAGGAAGGCGCGCAAAGGAAGCGATAGAACATCGCGTCGCGTCGCAAGCATCGAAATCGCGGCGGAATAATGGCGGGCGAGGACACGCAGATCCTGTCAAACGGTAACGTCGAGGCGCTCACGATCATTCCGCCGAAGATGGCAAACGGAAACGGGCTGATCTGCGCTAAGCAGCACAACAACAACGGCTCCATACCGAACGGCAACCTGCACGGCATCGGCGGCACGGAGAACGGCAAGTTGATCGTGCCGGACGAGAAGTCGAGCAGCCTTCATACGGAGTTCGACGACGCCGACGTGTCCTGCGGATGGGGCCCCTGCAGGCCCCACTGGTTGCAATACTTCGCCACCAAGCAGGCCTTCCTGGTGACCTTCTGCATCACCTGGGTAAGCATGTCGACTTACTTCAAACAAGTTTCTTGCTGAATTTGACGTTCCGCTTATAGAAGGCTCAGAGACGGGCGCGATTTTGCTGAGCGAATCAAACGAGGACATGACGATAAAGAAAAAGCCGGCGAAATAAGAACGATAACGTAACGACGAAAAAGTGAAGGATACAACGCGTCGGGAAGTCAATCGCGATCTACGCGTTCGCTAGAAGCGCGGAAGTAACTCGAATTCCCGCGGACGTGTCCTTGATCCTTCGAAGTCCCGCTCTGTTTTCTTGCCCTTCGAGGCGGCCGTACGCGGGTACACCGTCGCTGACAGTTTCGTTTGCCGATGCTTCAGGTGCTTCAGGGCATGTACTACACGTACTTCGTTTCCGTCATCACGACAATAGAGAAGCTCTTCCAAATCCAGTCGAAGACGACGGGCATCATCATGTCGGCGACGGAGATCGGTCAGATCGGCTCCTCCTTGCTGCTGACGTACTACGGCGGCCAAGGTCACCGGCCCAAGTGGATAGCCTGGGGCATGATCCTCTTCGCCGTGAGCTCGTTCACCTGCTCGATACCCCATTTTATTTTCGGCGAACAGCTGATTCACCAGAACGAAATGCTGTTCAGCGGTGTCGGGCCCGGCGGTGAGGGCGGAGGACCCAACAATACCGACCCGATACCGGCGAACCTCTGCAAGTTCCAGGAAAGGTCGGAGAACAGCACGCTGGACGGGTGAGTCCGGCTATTGCCCTGACTTCTCCGGATTATCCTCTTCTGTTCCTCGATCCTTGGCCGAACCCGGCCGAATTCTCGCGCGCACGCGCGCGATCAGTCATTATGTAGAGAGAGATACGCCTTGGTCTGGCCTTTGCCCTCGCGCGATTAAATACCGACTAACCTGACTCGACAGCGGTGAATCATCGGGGGGAAAAAAAACAAGAAATCACGCGGTTACCTGGCCGGCGAACGCGCGTCGAATTAATCCCGCGATGTTTTCGCCGATCGTCGGCGAATCGGTGCCCGGGTCGACATTTTTATGCCACTTCGACGCTCCTGAAGCTAGTTTGCGCCTATTCAGATAGACTTATAGACTGATAAAAACCTACTTCGACGATGCTGACACTTGTTGTCTTCTCTCTTTAATTCTACAGATTTAATTTTACCGCCAACAATCTGTTTTCACGCTAAAACGGAAATTTCAGGCATCATCAGGGGTCAAAGTGGGAATAAATTATGCATCGTTAGAATTGAAGTTTAATCTATTTAGCTATGTGTGACTTTAACACGGTTACAAAATATTGTTTTACTATGTAGAGGGAAAATTTCAATTTGAGTGTATTCGCTATTTGCATCGTTGGAAGATTTGAAAAATATGCCTACAGTAATGAATGTTTCTTCTTTAAATAACAAATATGTAAAACGTGCTACGAAACAGAATGAAAACATTCAAACTTCTACGATTCGGTTCCTCGTATCTTCGGATTCGTATCTTCGGGTAAGAAATCGCGATTATCCGCTTCCGTGACGATGAACGGGCGAAACGGACATATCTACTTGTGGCTTAAGCAGTCGCAAATTTCATGAACTCAATCTATCGGTGAAAAATGGCCGATAATAACTTAATCCAATTATCGGCTCGATTAGCGTCACAGAGAGAGGCGATACGCGAGCACTTCAATTTCGCGCGACGCGCCGGGGAAAATCGCGAGGCGACGACGGTTAACGAGTGAGAAAGTCCGGCTGATAAAATCGCGCCTCTCTTATGACAGTAACGACGAGCCGGCTCCGGTTTTCAAGAGGAGGACGAGACGGAGAGATAGAACTCAGCCCTCTTCCCTTGCCCGTCGTAATTCCGCCGGTCGCCGTTACATAATGCGAGAGAGCATATTGTTCATCGCCGAGCGCACAATGAAATTCCGCGGCTTCGGCGGAATGCTGAAACTGATCCGCGCAATTTAACGCGGTAATAAAATGGGGCAATGTCGATTACGTTTTCTTGGTATCGCGCTCGTTGCGCCGTTGCGCTGGCCGTTACACGCGTTATTACGCGCTGCGTGTGTGCAGCTGCTGCGCTTATCGTCGCGCTCGCGCGCGTGCAGTTTGCATCCTCAGCCACCACGTGGGCGTCGATTTCCTGATCTGCTTTCCGGAAGTGGCCGATTACACTCCGGAGTGGAGCAGGACAATGCTTATCAATGCGAGCTCCGAGCGAATTCGGGAGACGCAAGCTGACACGAGAGATATCTATCCAGCGCGCGGGCTGATTCGCATGTATAATTAATCATCCTCGAGACGTCTGTACGCCGTGACTCGCGAACGACATGCGAATGACCGCGGGAATCCGAGCTACGGAAATTTGGAACGTTATCTCGGATTATTGTCGCTCCCCCGTGCTTGAGAGCGTGACGGAAGCGCGATCTCGCGCCGAATCCCTATCGGTAACACGTTAGGCCTACGAGGCCTATACGCTGTTTCTTTCGCTTTACCTCTCTCTTTCACGTTTCGCGCAAGACGCTATACCCAAATCCTAATCTTCTATTGGTCAGAAATAGGCCTGAGAGGGCTATGATATTACTTAAGCGTCAGAATCGCGAAAATTGCTTTCAGCATTAACATTTACAGCGAATTCGATCACTCGTGGTATGCCGAATCAGTGCGTGCTGTGAAGGCTATTATACATGAAGCAATTATTCAAGTGAACAAACATGTTAGCATTTTGAACGATTAGACACGTAATAATAATATCGCGTCACGTTATTAAGCGGAATATATATATTGGTTATTACATCGTCAAAGTGCTTGTGTTTGTATCTAGATATTTTATGTGCAGCGGCCTTTAATATGCACTAATCCGGGTGCAGTGCGGGTGATCGAATTTGCTGTTACTGCCCAGAGTTTAGTTTCGAAAGCAAAGCCCGCGGGGCTCAAAGTTGCAAACGTGTACGTAGAGTGAGAATATAAAATAAGCTGTGTATCTAACGAAAAGATGGTAGTATCTATTTTTATCCTTCCACATATATCTCGTATATTATTTAATAAAAAAATACTCTTACTTAATATAATTAGTCACGATTATATACGGATTACTTTCGAAAATGTTATGAAAAGTGTATTGAAGTTTGATCATTTTATAATAAATATATAATGTTAATTTCGTTCCACATTTGGTATCTCTACGAATACTTCATAAGATTATTCTTATTTCAGTTATTAAAATATATAGATAATGTAGCAGTCTAAATGTTAACACGTTCGCTACCACACACGCTGTACACACGGTGTGTGTAGCGATAACTTTTCTTTCTATGTCCACATAAACAAAGCAAGTTTGTTTTACACGATTGACCTTTCCGCGGTAGCGGAGTTGGTCGCCACTGTGCCATTACGGAGGACAGACAAAGTGCATTATACGACGAACGAAGTTTGTAACGGAATTTTAACAGAAGTTAAGAGAGAAAAGATTGGTTGCATTAACATGACGAAACGAACGAACCAAACTTGTTGTAGTCGAGGGAAACGAAATTCCTAATTTCTACAAACCGTCAATTCGTTTCTCAAGAATCAGAAATTCTGTTTTCATCAACCAAAACCCGCTTGATTCTTTCATCGCCACATTAATTCGACCTTCTTCCTCCGTGTACTTTGTCACATCACGTACTTTATGGTTTTTGTAAAAATTATTTAGAACATTATTAGTTCCGCAAGAGCGGCCGTTAAAGTTGCCATTCGTTTAGGGACAGACTCGCGCACGCTGATAGTCTCTGTAGTGGCCATTCGTTACGAAAGAGTTAAATAAATAAATACAGATTGGTCTGTGGGGAGAATTCCCTCAAATGAAACGTGGTGGCGTACGTGGTGTTAATGCCACGAATCCGTGTCTCGTCTTTTTGCCTCGCGCTAACTTTTAATTTTCTCAATTTTCCCGCACTGGCGCTGGCATAATGTCCATAATAGGTATAATATCCGTGATATGCTTTCTAACGCGCGCTTTTTTAGTCCTATATAAGGCGATATACGGTGAGTTTACCTCACGAGGGGCCCGTCGAGAATTAAGTAACGCACGTTAATGGTCGCGAATATCTCGGGTATCCCCTCGAGGTAAACGCGACGGCTGATGTTTCAGGACTTTATTGTATCTCCCGGTCCATTTTCTGTTTTCACGAAGGTGGATCCCGGCGACGACCGCGCCGCAAACCGACTCGACGGAGTATTGCGAGGGCGATTTCCTCACGGAGCAAAGGATACAGAGCAAGATCACCACGGTGGTGCTCGCGATATTTTTCGTATCGCTGCTCGGCGTAGGAATGGGCCAAACGGCGGTCTATACACTAGGTATACCGTACATCGACGATAACGTGGCCAGCAGAGAGAGCCCCTTGTATTTTGGTAAGTTCTCTTATCCGTACAGCCACCCTTATCCACGCTTTATTTTCTCTCCCGTATATTTTTCATCGCACCTATACATACATGTATTTTTTTTCGTAAGCGCTTTGATTTTCTGCTTATTTGAGGTTGCTTGAACGTTTATAGCTATAGCTAAATATATCTCTTTAGTTGTTATAAATTGTTATAGATTATTGTATAATTTATTATTATCTTGATTTATATTATTATATTATCACTATATATATATATAAAATTATTATATAGTTAAAATATAATTATATTATAAACCAAGAATAACGTATTTCATATAATATAATGTCGAAGGGATTCCGAGGAATTTATATTTTTGAGGCGTCGAGGCTCGTGAATATTTTTTATTGTCATCCGAAAATGACCCATTTGATTTGATGTCTGCGACAGCAATTACCATCGGAGTGCGGATCCTCGGTCCGGCGTTGGGATTCATTCTGGGTTCTGTGTGTACCATGCTGTACGCGAACCTGTCCGTGAATCCGCAGATCACGCCGACGGATCCACGATGGGTCGGCGCTTGGTGGCTCGGTAAGCAAGCTTCAACACGTGACGATATTCGTTTGGAAATAATAGTTTCGCAATACGACGAAGACCGAGGACGAGGAGGCCTCCTTCCTTCCGTCAAAATCCGCCACGGACCCTAACGTATACTTTTTTAGTTAATTAGGAAGGAGTCGATTCGACAACAGCGATAATGTTTCTCTCTCCTCTTCTTTTTCTCTTTCTCTCCCTCCCTCTCGGCTCGATTATTTCGTAAAAAAGTACTCCGACCGCTTCGCCGCGCAGACCGTGGAGCCGCATATAATCAACTTATCGGGAATTTTAATAAACCTCCAAACCTTGCGAAGTCGAGGTAAAGTCCGCGGATGAAAAAAAGAGGGGAAAAAAGAAAGAGGAAAGAACTCCGAGCTGAAAGTCGCTCGGCCTTCGTCGTTCGAGTGCGCATTTAGCCACTGTGTGTGCGCGCATATAGACAAATCTATCCGCGTTAGTCACGAGAGAGCGTACGTGCTATTAGCGGCGCTTCGACTGGTTTCTCGCGCCTGTTGCCGCGCCGAAAGAGACAGAGGGTCTCGGCGACATAAAAATAATTTCCTTAGGCGTGACAACCGTAGGCCGCGTGTAAGCCGCTCTCAGACACGAAAATACACCCCCCCCCCCCCCCNCGCCGAGGGGAGTCTTTCTCGAACATTTCCGTTCGTTCACGTTCCTACCCGCGTCGCGTCTCGGTAAAAATGCTCAAGGCGCGCAGGGATTTATAAGGGTGAGACGGATAATTGTTATCGTCTTGAATATCTTCGGAAAATCAAAATACTTTATTAACGATCAGACATGCGAAAATGGGAAAAATGTTTACGTTTGCAGCAGGTGCTCCGAGTGATGACCATTATTCACGGCGAGAAAGAATTAACTCCCACGGTTTCAAAATTAACTATCTATATAGTACAACTGAAATTTAGTCACCGGATCTGGTTTTCAGCTGCGGGCTACAAAAATTCTTTTTATTCCGCGCACTGTCGATGAATAACACTTATAGAGAGAACAAAAGTGTACCGTGCTTGATTTCTCGAAAAATTGCGAAGAGTGTTATTTATCCCTTTTAAATCACATATCACATTTCATCGGGATGCCGGGTTTTTTTTTTCTTTCCGGTTCGCCGAAGATCCTTTTTCCGATCCTTTGCGCGTTTGTTCCAGGTTTGGTGCTAATATCGGCGATGCTGATGCTGGTCAGTATAGGAATGTTCGCGTTCCCGACGCGGTTGCCCAAGAGCAGAACACCGCCGAGACGAGCGGACGCCCCAAAGCCTAGTCTCCGAGGTAAGTCCTGATTTATCCTTCGGGCTCTCCCCGATCGGCCGCTCGTCAGGCCGTTGAGAGCCGGCGTTTCGGAGCCGCCGCGCGGCATCGGATCGCGCCGACTTAATCTGTTTTTATGGCTCGCCGTAAGCTGCTTTGTGGCAGCCACGTCTCTCTCTCTCTCTCTCTCTCTCTGTGCTCTTTCTCGTGCTCTCGTTCCCTCCCTATCTCTATCTCGCGATTCCTCGAGCGAACCCTCTCCGAGGACTCGTCTCCTCGCGAGGAGTAAAAAGGATACGGTCTCAGCCGCCGCGGCGGTGTGATATCGGTTTATTCTCGTCTCTCTTTCTCTCTCTTTCTCTCGCCGGCTCGCTCGCGCGCGAACGCGCGCGTAAATTTAGCCGACGCGTCGTTGCGCCGTTCGCGGCCGCGAGTTTTCTTTCTGCGATTCGCGACGCGCATACGCGCGCGCGCGATTATGATATCCCGCGCTCCCGATGACGCACTCGATACACTCGCGCGAGAATTTACGAGGGGATAAACGCGCGCCCGCCGATAACGTTGTATCGTCGTTGTCGTCGGCGTCGTCTCGTGGCAGCGAGCGCGCCGAGGACGCGCTGATAAATCGCGCCTGGGAATCAAGAGCCGCAGTAACGGACGCATCTTCGGAATATCCGATGCCGCGATAATGGTCATTGCAATTGCGCGATCGCCGGCCTCCGTACGACCACGATAACGGCAAGTGTCGCCACAGCGAAGAAGAGAGAGAGAGAGAGAGAGAGAGCCGACACAGGCGAAATTCTGCCCGGCCACTTGCCACTCGTGGAATCGAAGGCTAACGAGAATGCAAATAGAAGCCGGAGACAATGTGCTCTTCGTAAGTTAATCGGGAGCTCACGACGAGCGATTTCGCCTACGGCCCGGATAATGCGCGTCCTCTTATACGCATATTTATGGTGCGCATCAAGGCGACGGAACAGCGCCGGCCTTAGGAGACGCCGGTGCCCCCGCAACTTTCGATTTCCTCTACAGTTTCGAAGGCTCGGAAAAATCGGGTTTTTTCTTACTTCTCCGCGGATTTTCTTTCTTTTGTTTTTTTTTGTTTTTTTTTGTTTTTTTTTTTTTTGAGAAATTTCTTTCGACACTTAAAATGGAAATTTCAGATACCGTCGTGATCAAAGTAGAAGCGAATTATGTAATTGAAATACATTTTTTTTTTATTGAAAGCGAAATATTTCCTCTAAATGATATTGTTCTTCATTTCCGTCCAAGAGCATAGTTTAATGAGACAACATTTTCACTCAAACAAAGTGATATTCGACATGAAATTATGCGGTTTGTATTGAACAAATCCAAGTGAAAAGAAACACCTGAGCTAAATCCAAATTGAAACCCTTTTCGCTGAGTACCGTTCGCGGGATTAAAAGTTTTTAACGCGGGCCAAAATCTCGACTCGCGAAAAACTCGCGTGTTCAGCCGGACTCCGCGTTGTTTTGCATAATTTTACATCGCCTTGCTCGCACGGCTCACTTTGGATTTCCGACGACGTCAACGACGAACGGGGGGATGAATCGCGCTCCGACGCGTCGGTACCTCGCGCGAGCTCCCCGATATATCCCCCATAATGTATTCGGCCGGCTCTATCATCGGTATGCGCATAAAAGGAGGAATAAACCGATCGGATGATCTTTCAAGTATAAGCCTCCGCGTGTGCCAAGGTCAGTGGCGAATTTGGGTGGCGCGTTTCGCCGGCGTTCGGCCTGTAACACGCACGTCCGCTCCGTTCATGCGTGCGTGCGCGGGAGAAGTACCAGCGCGCGGCTTCTCTCTTCCTCTCACCGCGATTTACAGCGGGTTTCGGCGAGCCGGTGAAAAAGTTAGTAGCCGCGCGCGATTAGGCCGTCCGCGGAGGCGGGGGGAATCGCCGTCTCGGACGGGCCTCGCGAACTCGGCAACCGTGAACGGTGAGATCCGGTCTCGTTCTTGATTAGATTTTTGCATGTTCTCCGTTTCCTTCCTTTTCTCTCTCTCTCTCTCTCTCTCTCTCTCTTCTTCCCTCCGTCGCCTTTGTTGCTTTTTCGTTTCGCCGATCGTGGCTGCCGGGCTGCTGAAAGTGGCTCTTTGAAGACGACGTTTCATGCTTCGTTTGCGATCCGATCACCTTGACCCGATTATCTCCTCTGATTTCTCCCGCTCCAGATGGATCGGCGGGGAATTTAACACGTTGTAAAATTAACGCGCGCTCGTGGCAAAGCGCGTATCCGCTTTCCACCGAAGTATTAAGTATCGCGCTAATAAGACAGCGGTGGCGAATATTAGCGAATTATATAAGCCGAGGTATCGACCGACATACGCACACATACACGCGCGGTATCTCGCACACCTTTCGTGCTTCTTATCGGCGCGTGAGTTTACTCTCTATAATCTTCGCTCGCGCAAACGGGTTAATTCGACCTCGTCGTGCGCGAATTGCCGCCGCTCAGCGCGGAGTCTCGTCTCCTCCAGGATCGAAATCTCCTTTACTTTTCTCCCCGTCTTTTAGGAGCGACGTACACACACGCACGTACATATGCACACGTAAAACGTGACTCTAATTTCCGCGCGACGCTGCGCGCATAAATCCGGCGGCGACGTGCGACTCGTCCCGAAAGCCCGAAAGCCTCTGAAATCGTCGGGTGTTCCTTTAACGGATCCTCGGCCGCGCACGTTCTCCCTCGCCAGGAAGATGATGCGTTCACGCGTGTGCATACGCACGTGCACGCGTGAGCGCGCGCGCACCCACTCACGCATGCACGCATGAGAGCACGCGCGCACGCCGCTCGTTCTCTCTGTGTACGTTAATAATAATGACTGACCGACTCGTGCACGAGGTGGGGCAAGTTCACGGTCACGCGTCGTGCATAGAGCCGGCGGTGGACACGCACGCGTGTACGTTCGCGCGCGTGTACGCACATAACTACGCGCCTCTCTCTCTCTCTCTCTCTCTCTCCCTCTCCGCTTCCTTTCCTCTTTTTTCTTCTTTTTTTCTTTTCGTATTCCGCCTCTCGCCCCTCCTGTTTCTCTCTCCCTCCCTCTCTCTCTCTCTCTCGCTCACTCGCTCTTTCTTACTCTTTTTACTCATTTTTCTCCTTCTCTCTCTCACGGCTGCCATACACCGAGCTCGCTACGACTCGCATTACCGAACCATCGCGTTTAATTCGGCAAGTCGCCTACGTGGGAGCCGTTTTCTCAACATCTAACACTCGTCCGGCTGCTAATGTTTTATTTATCGCGCGACGCGCTCTGTCACTTAACCCGCTGGAATTTTCCGCGTTTTCGCATACTCGCGAGACACGAGCGTCGTTGACACCTGCGCGTCCGTATGTTTCGCGGACGCCTCGCGCGGCTCCCGGGTCGACCTCGGGACGTTCAACGACGAAAGTCGCGAAGTCGATGGAACTCGCGAGAAAAAAGAGAGAAGGGGGAGATATATTATTCATAGATACGCAACGACGATCCCGAATGTTGCACGTTCGAACCTTTAAAGGGCACCCTATATGCGCGCGGTAATACTCGCGGCGCAATGTTAGTCACGTTTGTCTACTCATGGTCTGCGGGACGTCCCTGTGCGGGGTTGCCACGACTAGTTTAGCTGGATATTCTCTCTCTCTCTCTCTCTCTGGTGGACGCCTAGAAGACTCTTCTAGGCAGTTCTAGGCGTGCGGCTTCGTATGCACGCGCGAGGCTACGCATATACTGTACACGCGGTACAGTGTCGTATGAAAAAGATGCTCGAGCCGGCCGCGTGGATGAATGTGACTTATCATATTAATTTTGGAGCTGTGATTGGTAATTCCGGAAAATGAAATCTTCCAAGTCCGTATCGAGCTTACTTCTCTCTTTTTCTGTATCATTCGCCTCGACCAGGCGATCTTTCAACCAGACGATTCGTCTTTTAACCATCGAAGTGGTCGGTGTTCGAGTACGCCGAGTTCGAGAGCCGAGAGACGCGGATCTAATATTTCGAGGTTGAACCGCGAGCCGCACATTCGAAGCTCGTCGACGGCGGAGAAACACCGAGCAGCTCCCTCGTTAGAGCGTTCGAATGGACTATAAATCGAAGCGGGGAGGGATGTTCGCCGAGTCTCCCTGATAATTTCGCAGGACTCCGTCGCGATAACGGTCGTTCTCTTAATCGTCGGACGTGCGGACGTTCCGTGGCAGCGGGCTTCCGAGCGGTTCTATACGTTTCAATGGGTCAATACGTTCGGTCGCGCGGCCAGGCGCTCACCTTCGTCTGGCAGGAGTTCGCATAAAAGTCCGCGCGACGCATCGATCCCCGCCGGTACGTACGCGCATTAATTCCGACGAAACTGCCGGTAAACGTCCCCGTCGTCGTCGTAGTCGTCGTTCGCTGAAATTGCTCGTAGGCGGAATCACCTGCGAAACGACGCTTAACGTTCTATAATTCAGATTCGCCGGGCCTTCGTCTCCTTTTCCTCCCCTCGTCTTGACTTCTTTCTCCAACGTTTCCCCGGCATTCGTCGCGCATCCTCGTCCTCCTCTCGAAGGAGGAAACGATTACAAAGAAAAAGACCAAGAAAGAAAGGAAGAGAGAGAAAGAGAGAGAGACGTGACTCGATCGCTGGCTAATTAGCTCGCTCCTTGTAATCGAGCTCGTAAATATACGAGGAGTCGGCAGAATCTGGCAGCTCCGTCAGACATTCGCGAGATAGTCGCACGACGGGACGGACAAAGTGATCAGACGACGACGACGACGACGACCAAGAGCAGGAAACCAATGAAAAAGAGAGAGATAACCGTGTCTCTGCATCCCGCGCCGCGATGCATCCGCGAAGCCGGATCGCGGCTGAGATATTGCTGAGCCTTGCGTAACCTTCGCCCATGAGAGACACTTAACACCTCGAGTCAACGACCGATACATCCACCCGGCATGTATCGAGCACCGAACACGGTTGTCCGATTCCTTTGTCTCTCCGATGAAGAGATCGGCCCGGAGCGCACCTCCTCCGGAAATATATTCGATGCGCCGCGTGACTTTCGCGAAGACTGCCGGAGGAACCTGCGACCGGTGTTTACACATCGCATCCGGACGAATGTTAAATAATGAATGTGGCTAAATAGCGGGATTAGTGAGCGATCTATTCGATTGAATCCTTCTCTGATGCGTTCGCATATGTAATACGCATAAATAATGAGATTGCTGGGATGATTATCTGTCTAATGAAGCGAGTCATTCTTTAACACACGTTCCTCGCCAGCGTCAGATACGTGTGACAGTTCGACCATCTTTTCCATATCTACATTATCAAACTGTAAATCTTGTTTTGTACGTTTACGTGAACAACAAAGTACGAACTGTTCTGTGAAGAAGGCTTTCAATATCAACGATCTAGCGATCGTGCGGTTAATTAACGTTTTCGTTCGATCCGACGGTAGAAGCTTTTCTTCTTTTTAACATTCTTTTTGAGAGGAAACGACAATGAACGAGCATTTCTAGTGTCAAAGCAAGACATTCTTCATCGTGAGTTGGAATTTCCCGGTGTGATCTCGCAGAAGCAGAATTTCGACTGACACGCTCGTTATTCAGCCTCTCCTCAGTGCCCGTTGCCTTCAACTGATCCTTTTAGCTCAGTCCACCGTGGAAGTTAGTTGAATCGTGTCGAAAATGTTAGCACGTGCGCACATACGATATCCCACGGGCCGATCCGACGCGTCATTTCCCGCGTTCTCGCACGCACTCACGTTTCGTGCCGCAGCACTTTCGACCGGCGCGCTGTTGCAGACTTTCCTAATGCGGTGAAGAGGCTACTGAAGAACGACATCCTCATGTTCAGGACGGCCAGCAGCGTGCTGCACATCCTGCCGATCGCCGGTCTCTACACCTTCCTGCCAAAGTACCTCGAGAGCCAATTTCGCCTGCCAGCTCATCATGCGAACATGATCTCAGGTAATTATCGCGGACGGACATGCGAGGGGCCTCTTGTGAGTGAGTGGGGAGGACGTAAGGGGGAGGGGACGAGGGAGGAACCCTCGAAACGTATCCCCAATTATTACTAATGACATGCACCGCGCGCGAGTCGTGTCCCCGAATAAACTGCGCGGCCACGACGACGACGGCGAAAGAGAACGGTCCTAACGGACGGTCGCGCGGAGATTTCGCCGGATGTCCGTCGTGATTACGGAGCAGAGTGGATAATTTGGCGTAAACGCGAATGCGAGATCCGAGAGCGCGTTTTTTAACGCATCTCCGCCGGTTGCTTCGCGGCTTCTTTCTCGCGCTCGTCGTCGTCGTCGTCGTCGCGAGTAAAAAGTAACGTTACCGCGAGGAATTCCTGGATTTGTTTGTGAACCTCTTCAGGGACGAATTTATCGCAACGTCCGAAGAAACCGATTTAGATTTGAGGTGAATCAAGTACGGCATCTCGTCGGTCTTTAATCATACGAGATGAGGTTTCCATTTCTTTTTTCCTGGGAAATTCTGAGAGAATATTGGTTCACGGCGACACTCGCGTTGTGTCTTCGTCGACGATCTGTGTTTCAATTAAACGGGAAAAATTGAATACCAAACGCACCACGTGTGTGTCAGTATTCCTCAAAAGGTTAATCCGCATTAAAGGGGATGTCGTGCTTGGAAACTTGGTCGGTAAAAAATATTGACTCTTTTCTGCAAAGTTCAAGAGTATTATTAGCTGCGCAGAATTATATAAATGCTTCTACACGGTGAAAATACGGCGCGGGACTGCATCGGAGCGTTGCTTAAAATGTAACGAAAACGGTTAAAAATATGAAAACCGACATCTTCAGCCGTTCAATTAGCGTTATATTTACCCGGTACGAGAATTCTGCAGCTTGTACGTACCGAGTGTTGTCAATGCTCCGCTGAGGGAAATTTCAAAGGACACCTTCGTATCTTTTCAATTCAATTTCGAGGCGAGGAGATGCGAAAAGTTTCTGGAGAAATTTTCGTATATATCTCGGTTAGATTCTTTAAATAACTCAGTAAGTACGGTAAGGCAGAATAATACAATTCGCTGTACTCACATTTATGTCGCGCGACGGCGCGTTTCGTACTACCAATCGTTCTCCCTCCGCATTCAGAGAACAATGTTTCACCGGTGCGCGCGTATACGTTTGTGTTAATCGGAGCTTTAATGAATAAGTAGTTAAAACGCGCACGGGAAGATCGGGAGGATGTTGCGAGGCGGTCGTGGCTTGGTTGCGCATGCAACGATAATGCAAAGTGGATAATTCGATATAATCGGGTACAGAACAGACTCGCCGCGGTATCGCGCGGTATTAATTGTACGGTAGCTCATTGCGCGCGTGCGTGTGTGCGCGCGCTCTAATTTATGATGATTGTTCGCCGAGTAATTGGCGCCGAGCGTAGAACAAGGCTGCCGCGCTCCGCTTCTATTCTACTCCGCGCGGCTCGTACTATGCCCGCGTATTATAATCCGCGGCTGTATTATTCCGTGGGATAGTTTGGCAGCTGCCGACGGAGTTGTTGTCGCTGCGCGATACCGCGTCGCCGTGCGTATCGATCTCGAATTAGCCCGCGACTGCCCGCGTGGTCTGATGAGGGTACGATCGGAGGATCACGGCGAGTCTCTGTAATGGTACTTTCGCCTTTCTTGGAATTACCAACACCCGCCAGTCTCGTCACACCAAGTGTGACCTACCGATTTCTCATGAGAGACCGATGTCACGCATATTTTGTTACAGCGATATTTTTTCATTACGCACAGAGGAGAAATGTGTAGAAGTGAGTCTCCGAGGACGATTTCTCAGCGAAAGTGTTAAAAATATACGTTTTTTAAAATAATTCCCCCCCCCCCCCCNTCTCCCCTTGCGCTGCAAAATTTCATAGCACTGTGTAGAATTGTTTACAGTTCACGGGACTTCAGCAGTAAAAATCGGTCGATGTCCTTTTTCGTTCATTATTTATTCAATACGATAGAACAGAACGTTGCGGTATCGATTCTCGGAAGCGAGTATACTTAGCGAATGCATACTTGGCGGATCTTTTTATCAACGAAGTCCGAATCCCCCGAAGGACACGAACCGACGAGGCAGGTCGAGAAAAACAATATCGAGCGAAATCGTGTGTTTTCTTTGCGCAGGTGTCGGTGGTATTCTAGTGATGGGATTGGGTATCATAATTAGCGGAGTATTTATCTTGAGGGCGAAGCCTAACGCCAGGTTCGTCGCAGCCTGGATCGCCTTCACTGCGGTCGTATACGCGATCGGCATGGGCGTGCTGATGTTCATCGGCTGCCCGATGGACGATTTCGCCGGACTCGTGTCGCATTCCGACGGGTAAGCAGCAGACGTTTAAGTAGCATCTAGCTACATATTTCAAAGAGTGCGCCACGAATAAACTCGCGCAGCCGTCGACGCGAGTGTGCACGCGAGAGAGAAGAACAGACGAGCGGTAGAAATATGAGTAACCATGAAATAATAACCTGGTAATTAATATCGCGTAAGATATTATTTTCATTGAGGCAGTTACTTACAAGTACATTAATCGAACGAGATATTTCGACTGGCACGATCGTCGGGTAAATCGATCCGACCGAACGACGAGTTCGACAATGCTTCTATTTCACTTTTATTTTGCGAAAATTTTCCGGATGTTAATTTTTTATGGAAATAGCGAAAAGAGCGGACAACGTTGCGTTGAGAGCATCTCATGCATTTCGAAAATAAACTCCGTGTCTCTTTTTCTTTCTCTCTCTCTCTCTCTCTCCCTCTCTCTTTCTCTCGATCTCTCGAGCCAATCGATTTTTCATATCCTCTCAGATAACGTCGTTACGCCGGACGGTGTTCTCGAGAGTGTCCGTCTCGCGTTAGTGACGTTGTTACAAAACCATCGTATTCAAATGTGCCGGCACGTCATTCGTGGTGTTTAACGAAAAGACAACGTGTTCGGATGCGTGTCCCATTAGAATGCGCATCGTAAGTATGCGTATCTGAAATGCCGCGACCACCGCGTCTTATTTACAAGTCAACGACAAGTCACCCGGTTCCCCCAGATACATACATTTCTCTGACTCTCCCGATTTCGATCCCCCCCCCCCCCCCCCC